CCCCAAAACCCCAAAACCCCAAAACCCCAAAACCCCAAAACCCCATTTATGACAGGACACTTCTCTATAATTTATATAAAATCTTAAATTAAAGAAAAGCAAATAGAATGGAATTAAGAGTTGGCAACAAATATAGACTCTCTCGAAAACTTGGGAGCGGAGCTTTTGGTGACATCTACCATGGTAAGACCCAACCATAAATTTTATCGGCTTACATTTTAGGAATGAACATTAAGACTAATGAAGAAGTGGCTATTAAGTTGGTAAGTAACATCGAAATCTGTGTTTGACCATGAAAATAGGAGCCAGTCAGGTCCAAGCATCCGCAACTCCTTTACGAAACAAAGCTATATAGAATTCTTCAGGGTGGAGGTACGAACACTTTTATCGGAGTTGATTTTTAAATCTCCCTTTCTATAGTCGGAATTCCTAACGTCCATTGGTACGGAGTCGAAGGAGATTATAATGTGATGGTTATTGACTTGCTAGGACCATCACTGGAAGACCTATTCAACTATTGTAAGAGGAAGTTTAGTACTAAGACTGTCCTGATGCTTGCGGATCAAATGGTACCCTCACTTTTACTAACATCTATAGATCCAAAGAATTGAGTATGTTCACTCACGCCATTTCCTTCACAGAGATATTAAGCCAGACAACTTCCTGATTGGTATTGGGAAGAAGCAACACTATGTCTACATTATTGATTTCGGATTGGCCAAGAGATACAGGGAACCTAGAACAGGAGAGCATATTCCTTATAAGGACGGTAAAAACTTGACTGGGACTGCCAGATATGCATCAGTCAATACACACTTAGGAATTGGTAAGCGAAATTATATTTACCCCCTTTAGAACAATCAAGGAGAGATGATTTTGAATCCTTGGGATTTGTCCTAATGTATTTCATGAGAGGCTCACTTCCTTGGCAAGGACTTCCTGCTAAGACCAAGAAGGAGAAGTATGAGAAAATTAGAGACAAGAAATTAGCCACTACTGTTAAAAGTCTCTGAAAGGGGCATTCAGACGAATTCTCGCAGTATATGGATTACGTTCGCAACCTAAAATTTGAGGATAGACCAGATGCCCAGTTGCTTAGGAAACTTTTCAAAGATCTCTTTTACAGGCTAGGCCATGAATATGACTTCGTTTTTGACTGGATGGTCAAAAAGACCTCTGTCACAACAAAAGCTGCTGCAAAAGAGGAAGAAGGAGAAGGAGACGAAGAAGAGAAAAGAGAGTAATTAATAAAAAATAGATTAATGTAGGCTAATTCTAATAAAACTTCTACTATTCACCGGGGTTTTGGGGTTTTGGGGTTTTGGGGTTTTGGGGTTTTGGGGTTTTGGGGTTTTGGGG